GGTTAATCACCCTTATCCATTTACATCTTCACAATTTTTTTTATTGACGTAACACTTCAATAATTAAACTTCTACATAAACAACTTAAGATACCCTTGAAATTACATCTCACAAACAGGTAAAATTTTGGTTACTCAGGAACATTGACACCCTGACAAACCCCATCAAGTTGAAAAGGGGAATCAAAATATGTTCTTCTGAAACAACTTTCCAAATATGAACATTGTAGCATGTATCAGAAAAAATATTTGAGGAAAAGAGATTAAAATGCCACCAGGGTGATTACTTTTTGGACCCAAGAAATTCCTGTTTACTTTTTATATCAAAATAAATTTATAAGTATTATATCATAAACTTATATGTACTTTGACAACATATCATACTGTATGCACTCAAATACCAGTGAAAACAAATAGTTTTCAACTGAATCACAATAAAAATCCTCTGAATGAATAAATAATTTATTGAATAAATAAATATTTGAGTAAGACATAAGAACTCTTGATACTGAGAAAATGCATTTCATGATAATCTCTGTTACAGAAACATTTTCCTCAAGATTTCAGAACATATATTTACATTAAGTCGTATACATGTATAGCTCTTTTTTTTTTACACACACTCTCAATGCAAATGTCTTCTTTACTTTATGACATTATCACTGAGTTAATCAATAATAAATGAACAAAAAGTCAAAGACCAGATATTCAGTTTATGGAGTACTAAAGAAGTTGTCTTCTTGCAAGGATACTAGACAGTAAACACAGTTCAGAGGAATGCTTCAATAAAATCACACACATTGAATTAAGGAGAGTCGCACATATTCACTGGTATATACATCACTTCTGTCAGAGACACATTCATTTATAGAATTTTGTAGCTTTGCAAGACTAGATTTTGGCAAGAACATTCCATTTCTCTTAGACTGGCACAAGGTCCATACAAGGCTGCTCTGATTCCATGTGGGCTTCAGTTGGAGGGCAGGTGTGGTTCAGGAGATGCTCATACTTGCGGAGTTTCTCGTTGAAGAGGTACCGGATGCCATTGTTGATAAAAGGCACACACTTTTTGTCCCAGTGCTCCCTGTTGCACTCTGTCGACCACATAACGGCTTCCCGGATCTTGGTAGTCAGGCCCTCATCCAGACTGTTGAACCGGTTGCCATAAAGCTGATGAACTGTGAATAACCTCCAAACTAATCTCTTTGCCAACAGGTGGGGTTTGCCTCTTACATCTGAGCACAGTGACCACAGATCGACTGGTGTGATGGTTACTGGGGCACGTTCGGTCGGCCTGGTGATCCAGATTCTGTCGAGGTTTTCTGGAGTCTCATGTAGGATCTCGTTGATTCCATCACATTGCTTGCAATCATCAGGGTTTGACTTGATGCTTGCAGAGGTCCAGGCTCGGTTCTGGGCATGAAGGTCCAAGTAGCTAATTTTTCTTTTCTTCAATGGAAATTGGTTGGTGTCCTCTGCAGCAGATTCCTCTGGAAACAAACGCTTCTTAGATTTTGGATACAAGGAGGATGTGGCAGTGAGGATTCTGATGTCATCATGTAGAGTCTGCTCACTCTGATGGACCCGGATGCTTGGGATGATCATTGCCAAGGCAGTTGTTGGTTTGTCTTGGTTACTGGAGGTCACTGATCCCGAAATATGACAATCAACTGGATTTGTTAAGAGACTTCTTGGATGTTGTGTAGCAACACTGGTGGTGGAGAGTGGTACTTGGTGAATTGGACCAGGTGGTGCAGAGGAAGCCTCCTTTGAAACAGAGGAAGCTGTTGAGGTACTAGGAGGGCTTGGCACTGAATGACAGCTAGGTGGCTCTGCTGTATGGTTTACAGAACAGGACAGCGTAAAGAGTGGAGGTACAGACGTAGCCCCTGTTGGTGCTGCTTGGAGGGATGATGGAGCCAGTAAATTTGACTGCTGTGGATAACACACTGAAGGAGTGACAAGTGTCTCTGTATACCTCTGTTGTGAAGGCAGCTGTCCTGGTGGTAGCCCCTGTTGAAAAGATGGCAGCTGAGTCCTCTGCAGAGGATTCTGCATCATGGATTGCATCTGCTGAGAAGTGTTCACTGAGTGTGGAATCTGTAGCGATGAAGGTCTCTCCTGAGGTTGTGGAAGCTGACTTGTATGGATGTTTGCCACAGGTACAGAAATCTCTTGAGAAGGTTGTACCATACTATTCATGGGCTTGGACTGAAACATCTGTGAGCTGATTGGCTGTGATGGAAGATGCTGGGGCACTGTTGATTGGTTAGACATCTGGAATGGTTGCTGAGCAGGAATTTGATGAGATGGAAACATCTGTGAAGGCATCTGTGGAAACTGAGGAACACTAAGTGCTGGGGATTGCTGAGTTCTTTCCCTCTGTGGAAGCACCGCATGAGTCAGTTGTTGTGCTTGCTGTGGTTTCTGAAGTGGATTGATCATCTGAGCTGTTTGTGTTGATGACTGCTGAGTTACTGAAGGATGAGAAGTGGAGTTCCCTTGAGATGATGCTGAGTTTGTTCTCTGTTGGGCTGAGGCATCTGCATTCTTCCTCTGTTGAATTGCAAGTTTGATGAGCAGGACATCTTGTTGCGTCAAGGAACCATTTTGAATGAGATGATTAAGTATGAGCAAGTATGTGTCCTGATGCTTAACAAAACGTCTCAGTGTTGATGATAGTAAATCTATCATTTGCTCCTTCGTTTTCCCAAACTTGTAGATGTATCTTAGGTAGTTTCTGGCCTCCTCTTTTATTGTCACATTACTCCTGGTAATCAAAGCTGATTGAAAAGTATCTGACAACAGCAGGGAATTGGATGGATCCTGTTGAGGTCTACCTGTTGCTGAAGTAGATGACATGCTTTGGGATGCCAAGACTGCTGGAGTTGATGACACCACTGGTAGGGGTTTCATTGTGACTGAAGTTGATTGCACTGGTAGAGGTTTCATTGTGGCTGAAGCTGATGGCACTGGTAGAGGTTTCATTGTGGCTGAAGTTGATGACACTGGAAGGGGTTTCATTGTGGCTGAAGTTGATGGCAATGATTGAGGTTTCATTGTGGCTGAAGTTGATGACACTGGTAGAGATTTCATTGTGGCTGAAGTTGATGGCACTGATTGAGGTTTCGTTGTGGCTGAAGTTGATGACACTGGAAGGGGTTTCATTGCGGCTGAGGTTGATACAACTAGTAGAGGTTTCATTGTGGCTGAAGATGATGGCCCCATTGTAGACCTTATTGCAGAGGATTCCAGTTGAGTTGCATGTACAGGCTGCCTTGATGCTGATCCTTCTGTACTGGCTATTTGGATGGCTGGACATACTGTTTGTCTCTGAGAGTTGACTGGAGCTTTCTCGGGCAGACTAATGGTAGATGGCAAGTTCTGTCCTTGTGATGATGACAACTCAGTGGTTGACCCTTCTACAAATCTCTGTACTTTGGATCGTATGATTGGTGATATCCATGTGTAATCCCTTTGACGTGGTGGAACAGTGGTATATACTTTGTGTGTAGATGAAGCGCTAGTTGCCTGCTCCTGTGAATCTTGTGAAGATGCGTGGCTGCTTTCTGTCAGGCAGGAGGAGTCACATGAGGATTCCTGGCTGCTTGAGTCCATGGTTGGAGGAGTAAGAGGATTAACAACAGTGTTTGTCCTGCTGATGACAATGGGGGGCACTTTCTGGGTTTCCATGCTAGGCTTTGTTGTCACTACAGCAGTTTTCTTGATGATGATTGGTGGTACTTTGAGTTGTTGGTCCTCTGACTTTGGAGAAGGCCTTTGAGTTGTAGCAAGGCTGACTGGTGACTTAGCTGTCTGGTGTGGTGGTGAGACAGGAGAATGTTGAACATGTACTGTAACAATGTTGTGATCAGTTGTTCCATTGGTTTCCTGCTGAGTAGTGGTATCTACTGAGGCATCACATGGCTTGTCAAATGGCATCTTGCTGGGTGATTGTAGAATGGAAAGTCTTTTGGCTCTGGCAGGTGTAGACAGGGCCCTCTTCTGTTTCTCCTTCATCATTCTTCTGATGTGGGCTTTGGAAGGGTTTGGTTTGGTGACTTTTACTTTTTTTGCCCTGAAGCATGTAATAGGTAGACTGGAGTCCAGATCCTCTGTTGAACCAGTGAAGTAGTTCTGCTTCTGCCTGGAGTTCAGCTCAACCCACTGGACATCACTGGCCTGTTGAACATTGGAGGAATCTGACACATCTATAGTCTGTCTTCTTTGGACAACCTTAGAGACACTCTTCTGGACCCTGGAGGCAAATTTTCTTATCTTTGTAACAAGGCCTTTCTTTCTAGGTGTGGTTTCCCTTTCTTTTGGATTAGCCTTCATTCTTTGAGGTGTTGGTACATAGCTGGCTGCATGTCCACTTCTTTGTTGAACATTACTGGAGAAGATTTTGGTGAGGCCTTGCCTTGCTTTAATCTCCACAGGACTAGGCTGATGATTTTGGGAGGCAGGTCCAAGCTGAAGCTTTGGTGTGGATTGGTGTCGAGGAAGCTGTCTTCGAATTATTTTTCCATGGATAGGACATGGTTGTTTCCCTTTCTGCTTCCACAACTTCACTCGAGATCGGGTGAGATATCTTGATCCCAGGTGAAGATTCATCAATGTGAGAGGTGATGGATGTCTGGTATGAGATCTGGTGAGATACTGTGGATAACGTAATCTGTTATCAAGTCTCAAGGGAGTAGGACTGGACTCAAGAATCTGGCAGTGAGATATTTGATGAGATTTTGGCATTCTGTATCTAGGCCTCCTTGGAGATGTTGTTGTTGACTTCAGTGGTTCATTGGCTGTTGCTGTGTCAGCTTTGGACTGATAAATTCCATCCACTGGAATCCTAAGAGGAGATGGACTTGAGTGTCGGGTGTAGGTGGAGAGCCTCACATTGACTGGCTGAATGGGGTGAAGGTCACAGCTCTCAAGGTCACATTCTATCTGCTGGCTATGTGACACTTGTGGCTGGTGAGGGATTGATGGGTTTGCATCCATCTGTGAATAAAAATACCACAATTAGATCACTGAAGTTGGGAAAAAGTCACTGTATTTAAGGTACACAGGATAATACTATCAACACTCTATAATACAAGTGAGGAAATTTAAATTTTTCATCACACAGATGTATTGAACTATCAGAACATCTAAAACATTTAAAACTACATGTGTCAGGAGACCTGAATGCCCCTAAAAAAGCCCTAAAATGTGCAAATAACAATGGGTAGAACAGGCACACAAATATCATACTGCTGCTTTTGTTTTCTGGAATAAGTTGTCTATACCACAACAGACTTAAACTGCATGAAATGGTGATCACTTACAAGCAAAGTAATAAAAAAGGTGCAAAAACAGTGAATATTTAGAAATTTAAAGGACATCACTTTTGTATAAATGGGTCAATATCACAATACTTATATTTGATTTGGAATTCATCAATACAAAGAGACAAACTAATGATCATTATCTACAAGCCAGCACAAAATATATAAGAAAAAATGAATACTTAGAAATTTTGAAGGTCTAAAGGCAATAATTTTCCTAAAAATAGGTCAATCATCATGAAACGTGAATTGGGTTGGAAAGTCAATCATATTCAAGAGACGTACACACCAGAAGTCTCTGATGAGACTAGCTCTACTGATTTGTACTTATAACAAAGGAAGAGAAGAGTAGCACTTGGACTTGAAACTTTGCAACAGCAATAATAATGGAATAATAATGATCCTTGGTTTAGTCTCTTTTTTGTAGCAAGATTTATTGCAATCACACTTAACTGTAGGAGGAGTAGCCTTTTAAAGAGTTTTATAAAAATTTCAATTTTAGAAACTATGGCAACATCATTAAAGCAATAAAGACAATTATGTATCTCAGTGTAATCTACTTGCATGCCAAGTTATATTAAAATCAGACCAAACTGTAGGAGGAGTAGTATTTTAAAAGTATTTCACAGAAATTTCTATCTTTAGTTAACATGGAAATACTGTTCATTGAAATCAGAAATTGATACACAGAATTATGTATCTTAGTGTTGTCTACTTGTGTGCCAAGTTATATAAAAAACAGACCAAAACTGTAGGAGAAGTAATTTTGAAAATATTTCAAAGAAATTTCTGTTTTTTTCATCAACGTTCATTGAAATCAAAAACTGATAATCAGAATTATGTATTTTAGTGTAGTCTACTTGTGTGTCAAGTAATATTGAAATCAAACCATAACTGTAGGAGGAGTAGCATTTTGAAAGTATTTCACAGAAATTTCTTTAGTAACCATGGCAACACCATTCATTGAAATAACAAAAATGATAAACAGAAGTATGTATCTTAGTGTAGTCTAATTGTGTGTCAAGTTATATTGAAATCTAACTGTAAGAGGAGTAGCATTTTGAAAGTATTTCACAAAAAAATTTATTTTTAGTAACCATGGAAATACCATTCAAAAAATCAAAAACCGATATAAAGAATTATGTATCTTAGTGTAGTCTACTTGTGTGCCAAGTTATATTGAAATCAGACTAAAACCGTGGTAGGAGTAGCATTTTAAAAGTATTTCACAGAAATTTCTATTTTTTATAAATGGCTGCATCGTTCATCAAAAGCAAAAACTGATATACAGCATTACGTATCTTAGTTTTGTCTAGTTGTGTGCCAAGTTATATTGAAATCAGACTAAAACTGTAGGAGGAGTTGCATTTTGAAAGTATTTCAAAGAAATTTCTATTTTTAGACCATGGCAACACTGATACACAGAATTATGTATATTAGTATAGTCAGCATGTGTACAACATTGGAGAAGTAGTGTTTTTAAAATTGTTTACAGACAAACAGAGCAGACAGATGGAAGATGGACACCTTACTATCATAAGCTCTTCTGGTCTCTTAACAGTATTAGCTCTTTCTGAACAAGCAGAAAAAAGCCCTGCAAGCAGTGAATTATTAGAAATCTTTTAAGTCTAAGTGACATAAATCTTATAACAATAGGCCTATGAGCCACAGTGCTCACCATGGTAAATACTGTATACAGGGTTATTTTTGCCCATTCGCACTTGCGAACAATTTTGCCCCATTTAAAATTCACCCAGTCACAGTTTTGTTTAAGAAATTATATTGTGTTCTTTGAATTCTTCCTATTTTAAATTCGCCCACCTGTAATTAGGGCAAAAGGGGCGAAAATAAAACAGGGGACGAAAATTTCCCTGTATACAGTATGCCTTTCTTTCATCAGCTTCTTTTTCCTATATATTCCCATTTAAAATTTGATCACCCATGAAGCACTATCCTACTCCCGGGGGTCATTATTTGAACAAACTTGAATGTACACTATTTGAGGATGCTTCCATAAAGATATGATTAATCATGACTTTGCTGTTCCTGGGAAAGAGATTTTTTCTATGTATTCCTCTGTAAACTTATTGTACATCCTTTCTCGTGGGGTCATTATTTGAACAAACTTGAATATGCACTACCTGTGATTAATTCCATATAATTATGACTGATCATGATTTTGCTGTTCTTCAAAAGAATTTTTACAGATCTTTCCTATATTACTTTTATGTAAAAGATTGGTTGTCCATAGTGGCAACACCCTATCCCCAGGGTTCATGATTTGAACGAACTTGAATCTTCACTACCTGAGGATGCTTCCATATAAATAATTGCTTTCCTATACTTGAGAAAAAGATTTTTAAAGATTTTTTTTCTAATTATACCCATGTAAACTTTGATTGCCCATAGTGTCCCCACCCTACCCCCAGGAGTCATCATTTGGAGAAATTTGAATCTACACTACCTATGGATGCTTCCAAATATCTATGACTGATTCTGGCTTTGCTGTTCTGAAGAACATTTTTAAAGATTTTTCCTACATATACCTATTTAAAACTTTGATTGCATATCATAGCCCCACCCTTCCCTGTGGGTCATGATTTGAACAAACTTGAGAATCTGTGCTACCTAAGGTAATGCTTCAATGTAAATGTGATCAAGCCTGGCTTTCCTATTCTTGAGGAGGATTTTTATAAGATTTTTGCTATATATACCCAGTTAAAATTTGATTGTCCATAATGATCCCACCCTACCCCCGGGGGTCATGATTTGAACAAACTTAAACCTACAAGTCTACAAGTCAGGAACCTTTCACAAAAGTTTCATCTTCTCTGGCCCTATGGTTCTTGAGAAGAATTTTAAATGACCTCACCCAATTTTTACTTTTTCCCTTGGAATAGGGTGTAGCCCTTCATTTGAATAAACTTGAATCCCCTTTACCCATGAATACCCTGTGCCAAGTTTGGTTGAAATTGGCTTAGTGGTTATACAGAAAAAGATGAAATTGTAAAAGGTTTACAACAATGATGACAGACCAACAGACAAATTTTGATCAGAAAAGCTCACTTGAGCCTTTGGCATACAATATTGAGATCGAGACATACAAAAAACTAACTCCTTATCTACAAGCAATACAAGAGCCTTAACGGTCACCTGAGTACAATACAACAATTTAGAGGATCCATAAACTGATAAATGAAGCTCTGTTGCCCAACAGCAAGAAAAATAGTATGATTAGCATCAACAAAATAATTGGTCTATATAGTATCTATCTGTCCCCCATTTATCACTATTACCATGCAGACTATTAACAAAATGTCTATTTTTTAACCCCATATTAATACTTCTCACATTGGCCTCTCTTGGCCTTTGAAGAACATTTAAAAAGATAAGTTATTTTTGTCTCATTTTTATTCATCTATTATTTCCAAGTCTACCTGATCATTAAAACTATGAAAGTACTTTTTGTGTTATACAATAGATATTCTTGCATAATTCTCTTATTCTATTAACCTTTCAAATACATTATTTACAGTGATTAATTATCAAAGGTGCATGGCAAAGGGGAATAACTTTGCTCAGCAGAATACAAGTTAATAGTGCCCTTGCCAGGACCAGAACACTTGACTAAATGGTCCATGTGTTCAAAATTCTGGTAAAAATGCCCTTGCATATTAAAACTTTTACTCTGTTTGCCTCGGATATTAGCATAGAAGATTTTAGCATTAGAATATAAGCATAGAAGATTTTCAAAGAAACACATTTTCACTATATTATTAAATAAATAACGCCCCACCCTTAAACCAGAACATCTGACCCATTGGCCATGAACTCACAATTCTGGAAGAAGCACCCTTGCTCATCATAACTGAAAACTTGTTTCTTAGCTTTATAACCAGTAGTAGAAAAAAATATTTTTGAAAGAAATTATGCATTTTCGCTATATATTCAATAGAGCCCCCCCCCCCCACCTTTAACCTGAACCCCTGATCCAGGGGCCTTGAATTTCACAATTTTGGAAGAAGCGTTCTTCCTTATCATAACCATGCACTTCCTCTGTTTGAATAATACCCAGGAGCAGAGAAGAAGATTTTCAAAGAATTAATGCATTTTCGCTATATAATCAATAGAGCCCCACCCTAACACCAGAACCCCTGACCCAGGGGCCATGAAATTCACAATTTTGGAAGAGGCACTCTTGCTCATCATAACTTTGTACTTAGTTACTTTATTTAATACCCAAGAGCAGAGAAGAAGAAATGTCCTCAAAGAAATAATGCACTTTCACTATATGATCTATATAGCCCCACCCTAGCACCAGAACCCCTGACCCTTCAGCCATGGATGAATTTCACAATTTTGGTAGAGAGCTCAATGCTTATTACAATCATGCCAACAGTTTGACTGCTTGATGTTCAGGAGTACAGAAGAGGATTTTTAAAAATTGCATTAATTTTGGTGGTTTTAGCCCCACCCCTCGGCCCCAGGGGGGCAGGGACCATGAAATTCACAATTTTTGTTCCCCTTCACCCATAGATGCTATATGCCAAATTTGGTTGAAATTGGCTGAGCGGTTACAGAGAAGAAGCTAAAAATGTTCAAATGTTAACGCATGGCGATGGACGAAAATGGATAGCAACAGGTCACCGCAGGTGAGTTAAGGCTAAGTATAGG